GCGTTTGTGCGATAATCGTGCACGTAAAATAAACGGCCAACCTGGGGGGGCAGGGCCGGCGAGTACGGCCGCTTTTACTCGCCGGCTTTGGAGTTTCCCGCCTTGTATGAGCACGGGGCTTGACAACGGCTGGCACGAGATCCGAATAATCGATGGAACCAGCACCAACTCTCACTCGCTTCCGAAGCCGTCTTTTGGCGTGGCCTGGAAGATGCCCTCGTTGGGCGAGTGTTGACGGCTTTTCGAGAGCGTGAGCGGGCTCGAGTGACATAGGGTCGGGGTGCGTTACAACGGTCTCAAAAACTATGACGTGTGTGAATACACCCTCCCCTGTCATCTTGAGCCGAGTGGCTGGCGTCGATATCGACTTTCGGACGCGACGTTGAGGCAACTACGTAGTTGTCTAGGTTGCCAGTCCTAGCTAGAATTTTGTCTGCTGTGAGGGGTACCTGATTCAGTGGTGCGTCCTCGAGCAGGGCCGTAACTGTAGGTTGGATAAATGCTGGTAGAGATTCGAGCCACAGTTCTTTAACGATTTCAGAGTCGACTGCCGTGGGTCCTGCAAGAGATTGCAGGCGCGTGAGGTGGTGGCTCGGTTTAGCATCACCCAGGGGGTGACGTGCTAATAACGTCCTCAATCGTTCCTCCCTCGATGGGAAGAAATATCTGAGGATCGCCTCCTTGAGACGATCGTAAACATTGGGCACATTGGAATTGAGGACTACCTCACGGACAGCTACTAAATGGTCTCCCGGTAAACATTCGAGAGCGTAGGCGTACTTCTGCTGTTGGTTTGTAATATGACGGGTCTCAAATTGAGACTCTATTGCGGCAAATCAAACTTCGGGGTCGTGGGGAATAAAAGATACAGGTCGAAAGTGTATAACCTGTACGTCAGAGTCTATTACGTTAATACTATTCTTATCGTTATCCGTCATGTCAAATATATTATATATTAAAAATTAATATGAAAATATATGACAGACGTGGATAGATAGGCGATAGGCTCACCAAAATGGACTACTTCGGGAGGTTTGTTTGCGATTGCCAAGTGTTCGTAGATGTAGGTTCACCAGTTGTAGAAGATTTGACCGAAGTTGAGGCGTGTTCCAATATTTGGCTCACCAATTGTAGCGTGGTGTCGAGTTGAGCTTGACTATGAACACCGCTACAAGACTACGTGCCAATTAACCAAAAAGATCCTCATAGACTAATATCAGAAGGCAGATAATAGTAGTAGTTGAAATACATTTGCTGGCAATCTCGTGGTATCAAAAGAATACCGAGATCGTGCCAAAGGAGTACAAATGCGATCGGCAAGGAAAGGTACATGCGTAGTCACAAACCGCGCAGAAGTAATGGAGTACAATGGAAGACCGAAATGACTGTTATTAGCATAGTTAAACAAACGAGCACAATAAAACAATCACTGGTACAATTGGTTATAATAATAATTGTTTTCATCGAACCAATCGCATTCTGTTGACAAAAGTAGGTCACTACAACTTGATCTAATGTTTGTCGATGGTTATATCTCCGCGTTTAGGAATAGATGTTTTTCGAGTTTCATAAGGTTCCGGAACATCAGCAGTAAACATACTAGGTGTAACGTACCTACTAAAATGGAGTTGTAGTGTCTTTACTACTGCGAGTAGTTGTGCACGTGTGCTATTCAAGTCATGCTCGTGGAAGTCGGCCTCAGCATGACAGAACCAGGCTTCGATGTTGTCCGGCCAAAAAAGCATTTGTTGAAATGAAGGTGGAGTCATAGTCTTTAGTTTAAGTATTTTAGAAGTCTGTTCGGTCATGGCGAATAATAAGTACAGGAGTGAACGAGGGCAATAATATATGAAGTTTCATACTGGAATAGATTCACAGTTTACAAGTTCGTGTACCAGATCACGTTGGCTCATCAATGAAGATGCCACAGGTATTTTGTAGTTTGACGACACTTTAAATGGTAGCACCTATAATTGAATTGTGCCCACCCGGTAAAATAAAAAATCAGAAGTGAGGAGGTTCGAAAATATACTTGATAGGTTGTCAATATATCGAGAAACGGCCGATCTAAACTGGCTAGCAGTTGAAGCAGAAGTTGAGCTCAGCGTTCACACTCGTGATCTGGTGCGGATGTATGACCGGGCACCTTCAGCTAAGTGAGTCCATTAAAACTAATGCGGCCGGCTTCCAATGTCGAAGACTTACAGAGCTACTGATTTTGGGGATTTATTTACCACTACAAGTAATATGATGTATTACCTATAATATTCTGTTAATAGTAATTAGATGTTATATGAAGGTTTAATTTTGAGTTGACTCTTGCTTATTTCCGTAATTTAAGATAAGTTATTAACAAACCTCCTGGTTATGACTGATTGTTAATCAAATTAAAACTTTAATTCAACATAACTTTCAGGTAATAATTTCACGTTATACTTCTATTTTTCATTACCAACCAACATAATTCGAACAACTTATATATTCTAATTATAAAATATACGGTTCAGAAATCTAAATAATTAAGATCACTCTCTCATTCAGTAATTAAATTGATTCATCATGATTAATACTAGTGACGGAAAACATGAATTTAATTATCATTTATTTAATGAACCATTCATTCATCCTCTGGAATTCAGAAGAAAAACATTGGTCAAACTGTATACTAAGTTCATTTACATGGACGACACATACTTTATTTTATTTAGAAGAATCCTAGTCCTCAAAAAAGAATAGAAAACAGTTCATCTGAACGATCTAAATATATAGTTCCTGTGTCTGTATACAAAGCCCTTTGCTTCGATGCAGAAAATTGACGTGAGTATTTGCTGTTGTGGGATTCTTTACAGTGACATCATACCTGTTTGGTGCTCAAATCAAATTATTTTCAAACCGAAAATTTTTGAACTCATATATGAACTAAACATTGAATGGATGATATATCTATAATTTGAATTGATGAATAAAAAGCCAGATAATCCTATTAAGGATTATTTAGTAAAGTAGAATGCTATTGATAATGTCAAATAACAGTGACAAATTGTTAAATTTTGAAAGAGCTGGTGTAATTCATTTCCACATCGTCAAATTCTTGCATACAAAGAAGATTTCTGCTTAAAATGATATTGTTAACATTCGCAATTTTTTCTATCATTCACCTATTTCATCAATACTGAAATCTGCATTTTTTACTTAAGTTACCTTAATTCATCTTTCTTTTGTTTAGCTATGGTTTTAAATTCATTATTTCGTTAATAATTACAATTACTATATTAATAATTATTCAATAATAATTTTTACACAAAACTATTTACAGCCAGGATTTGACACATAATTTATCTGAGGATAGGATGATTGAAGGCTAAAATGTGACCTTTCAAAGTCTTTTTTTAGCAGTACTTTTGGTCTAAAATGTATCAAGGTTATCTGGTCGTTAGCATTTATTTACTTTGTTCACTTATATAGGCTTTCTTTTAACGTGTTCTTTTTAATTATAGCTATTTGCTATTTATAGATGAATATAGTTCTTTTTAAAAGCATGACCTAAAGTCATAAACCAGTAATCTGTTTCATTACAACCGATCCAGCAATACTAAATTTAGTTATTTATGATATTTACATAGAAAAAAATATATATATAAAGTATTGTTGTCCCTTCTCAGAATATAGGTTTTTCAATTAATTGTATGGGTTCCATCTTGTTTCATATTGAATTAATTAATTTCATGGAAAATAACTTTATTTGTATACAAACTAAAAAAGATGATTTCATAAAGTAAAAACACTTTGTTTGATGATATTTACCCGTACTCTTAAAAAATGTGTTCATCTAGTTTTAATCCCAACAAATAGTTAGCGTGATTAATAAACTTAAATAAACAATATATTTGGTAAGTAACAAATCGTTGTATTTCTCCATTGGTTATTCATTGAATAGTGATCAGTGTTTAGTTTATCTAGTTATTTAGTATTAATTTCAATGGTTAAGATCATGAGTCAGTTGAAGCTAGACCACCATGGATAACCTGGGAGCACTGGACGGCTGTTTCGTCTTATTATGGTATTAACAATGTTCTAGTGACCTACTTTTGTCAACAGAATGCGATTGGTTCGATGAAAACAATTATTATTATAACCAATTGTACCAGTGATTGTTTTATTGTGCTCGTTTGTTTAACTATGCTAATGACAGCCATTACACTTACTCTCCTGTTGACTTTGAACTTGTACGAATTCGGTTACGCTCAGTAACCACGCTTGTACTCCTTTGGCACGATCTCGTTATCCTTTCGATACCACGAGAGCACCAACAAATACATCTCGACTACAGCCATCATCTGTCTTCTGATATTGGCCTATGGGGATCTTATTGGTTAATTGGCATGTAGTCTTGTAGCGGTGTTCATAGTCAAGCTCAACTCGATACCACGCTACAATGTCAAATAACAGTGACAAATTGTTAAATTTTGAAAGAGCTGTTGTAATTCATTTACACATCTTCAAATTCTTGCAAAGCTAATGACGTCGAGAATAAATAGTTGTAATGAACCATACACCCACCCCTGCAGTTTGGAGAAGTGAACCGGAGTGTACACTTGAAAGTGTCACCTGTCTAAAACTCATTTCACGTCCCAAGAATTCCATTCAGGAAACTAAGTGGTAGGATTAGAGGGAGAGAAAAAAAAGATTGTGGAGAATACCAGTTGTAATCCCATACATTTTAATAAACTCTATCTGAGATTCAGTCCAAATAAGTCTTCAACGAACGTTCTGTAAGTGGTAGTATCTTATAACGAGGTAACTCATAGTGTAGAATAAATTATCACAAAAGCGTTCACTGCAGATGCTATTCAGTTTTTACGCAAACTCATATCAAGTTTCATTTCTTCTTCGCATTTTGCAAACACCTGTGATATCAAGCTTAGATATTTTTAACCGCATATTTGTTTTTTGAGATGAAAAACTGAAAAGGTCTTTTGTTTAGTTTTCGCAAACAAGAGAGTGAAGTGAGAAACTATTGATCCATCATCATTTGAATGAATTTGGATTGTATATTTTACAGCGCAATGTTCGAAGCAGACGTTTTTTAGAGCCTTGAGTCGTTGTGTAATCATGTTAGTAGTGTAGACATTTTGAAATCATATCCTTGATCTGATCGTGCATTTTATGGGTATAAATGGGTGCTTTGTTGATGAATCACAACAAATGGTAAGCTTTGAATTTTTTTTGTGTAGCCACGACTACTGTTTATAAATGGTGATTTGTCTCGTTTATTTGTTTAGTAATTAGTGACTGGAAAGACAATTTTTTTGTAGAAAATTTCACTATACTTTTCTGTTGGTTCGTTTAAAGTGAAGAATGTTTTGTCGTTTATTTGTAAACATGGTTTGGGAGCTTTCATGAATACAAAATATAAACTTCATGCTTAGACTGTATATGTTAGTATCTGGATGGCTAAGCAACAGTTAGTCGTCTCTCTGAAATCAATCGTGGGGTTAGGTTCGTATAAACGAATGGTGACTTAACTGTTATTAAAGGTATCTCGAATGTGTGGTCATATAGTCATGAAGACCGGCTTCTTGTTAACAGGACGACCTTAGAAATCGTTGTTCCAACTTATTTCGGGACAAACAATGTGTCAGGACTCCAGTATTTGTGTTTTTACTGCTGTTTAGTTCGAGATGTCCAGTTATTTCATGTTTAGATTAGTGCAGTCCCAGATCCTTATCACTCAAGAAGTTTTTTCATGTGATGTATAGAATATCTGGTATTCCGACTCACAGCTCAGAACGTGAATCAAAATGTAGTTATTGGATAAAAATGCTTTCTCTATGTATTCGCACACTTATTAAAAATTTACGAGATTCTTATTCTCAATGTTAACTTGGAACCATTGTAGGTTCAGTAAACATTTTCAATTGTTCAATACTCAGGTTCTAGTTTTAAAGTCTATTTCCAACTTGAATTATTTCACAGATTAGCTAAATCTCACTTTCTAGTTCTTCCATTTCTGTCGTTGGTGAGGAAAGTAATTTCTCAGTGTTATCTGTCAACATGTCACATGGTGCAGGCAGAGGTGATTATTTTATAGTATGGCTGAATGAAGCGATGGCTGCTAGCTTATCATAGTGGCAGCTTGATTGGAATCTACTGGTTATGCAGTTTTTATTTGGAGCATAATAGTTTTGGTTTTTCTTCTGCATTGGTTGTAAAACTTATTGGAAAACCAAATCCAAAATGAACTGTTAGGTGTTTCTCGACAGACGTTTTATTATGCTTTATATTCTACGCAAGTTGCACTACTGCTTTGCTGTTCCTCTATGGTAAAATTTCATTGATAATTACATCGTAGGTGACGAATTTTTTTACTGAAACTATTAGTGACATCTATGATTCCTTTACCTATTCGTAAAATATTTACTTTATAGCCTAGCAGATTTATGAAGTGCTGTTGTTGCTAATCATGAAGGACGATAATGAGGACAGCGATCAAAATGTAGATTGCACTCAAATGTTCTGGTACGGTCGAAGGTGGGGATAGTCAGCTTTCCTTCTAGAAATGCTCTCACATGTCCATGAGTATACAATCACTGCCAGGGAAATCCTACCCACTGGTTTCTCTCTGCGGGGTTGTTGCTTGCAAAATTGAGAGGACGCAAGGCGAATGTTCGGCGCTTTAACCGGGTTGGTGGATATGGATGACCCACCTAGGAGAGTTGGAAAACCCTGATTCCAAACCAATGGTCACATGAGCTCCAGTCTTGAGGGGATAAATGGTGTATGAATCTTTTGCTAGTCACTGACTGCCATGGGAATGCATATCCTGACGTTGCTCCACTGCCTTGTGTATTAGACCTCTGGGTCAAAGATCCGGGGATTGGCCAGGCAACGGTGGTCTTTCTTGACTTAAAAGCAGCATTTGACCCTGTAGACCGAGAGGTTCTATGGCAGTGTCTGTCATTGAAAAGTGTACCTCAGATGTACTTAAACATTTTGAAGGCTCTTTACTCGGACACTAATAGTTGAGTCAGAGCTTATGGCGAACTGTCATGTGATTTTACAACATCAAGTGGTGTCGTTCAAGACTATCCACTATCTCCATTTTTGTTCGATCTTATCATAGACATAATGTTGGAAATAACATTCTCGTTCACTGAATTTTGGGCATTGAACTCCTACCAGGAGGTTCACTTATCGACTTAGAATAAACAGATGACATAGTCCTGTTTGGTGAAGATGCTGATAAAATGCAGTCTTTTGATAGCACTGAGCAACAATGCCAGGATGTTTGGGATGCTCTTCTCTCCCTGTAGATGCAAGTTATTGCTTCAATACTGATCTGTGTCCACACCTGAACTAAGAATAGGGAGCGAAGTAGTTAAATGCGTCGGCAACTTCACTTATCTTGGAAGTCTGATTAGCCCTAATGGGTTAGTGTCTGACGAAATCTGTGCACGGACTCAGACAGCTCGTTTTGATTTCGCCAACTTACGTCTATCGACTAAGGGACGAGTATACTGCACAGCAGTTCGTTCTATTCTACTTTATGGCTGCGAAACGTGGTCATTAAGAGTGGAGGATACTCGTAAGTTACTAGTATTTGATCACAGATGTCTTAGAAATATTGCTCGTATTTGCTGGGATCACCGGGTAAGTAATAGTGAGGTTAGACATGGGGTATTAGGGAATAATGGTAAATCAATTGATGAGGTTGGGAATCTTCATCGACTAAGATGATTGGACCACGTGTTGCGTATGCCTGAACACCGATTACCACAACGCGCAATGCTGACTAGTGTTGGGGATGGTTCGAAGAAAGTTATGGGCGGCCAAACCAAAACGTGATGTCAGTGCTTGAAGACACTAATTTATAGTCTTAACCATGTTGGTAGATGCAGACTACCTGGTTGGGGTCCGCGCGACTTCGGTAATCAATGGTTGGAGACTGTTGGTGACATGGCTCAGAATCGATTACAATGGCGTAGGTGTGTACACTCTTTGTCTTCCCTTAAACTATGGGATTAAAATTGCTTCATATCTTTCTCTCTACGAACTAATTCTTTCTTCCTGTACTACGTCCTTATATGCAATCTTTTATATATTGCTACCACTAAACTAACCACTTCTGTGAATCCGGTGTTCATCTTGCTGTGCTAATGAGGTATGGAAACTTGGACCGATACACATATGTGCCTGGTCCTATGTTGTAGCTGAATGACTAAAAATTTCAGTAGCAATATGAACACTGAACACATACTGAAACCAGTGCGCTTACTTTGATATAAGTAGTAATCAGTGGTTTCTATGTCAGGAATGTTATCAGTTCTTACATTATTTTATTTACGACTTTTTGTCTAGGTAAAATTAGGTAAGAGGAGTTGGAAGACGCACTTTTTGAAACCATTATCATGGACTCCAAATAGTAAAACAAAACGAGCAAATACCTGTTGGGTGCAACTGTCTGGTCATCAAGGTTTGTTTCGAACAGCAAGATAATTTGTCAGTGTTTTGAAAAATTATCACTTTTTTGAGAATTCCCCTTTTATTTGCTATCATTCTTTTTAAGAACTGTTAATAATAAAAGAGTACATACATAGAGTTTTGCTTCACTAAGAAACGAGTATTTGATCCTGCTTATTGTTATCAGACGCATTAAGATATTCGTCTGATCATAACAAACTGGTTTAGCTTCTCAGTTTTAGAAGTGTTATCGTAGTTCCAAGAGAATTTATTCCGTTTTTTCATTAATTTTATAAATTTTGTATTTTGAAAGGCAATATGGAAATATTATCTACTTTTATTGTCTGTACTTAAATTGTTTTGAAAATGTGTTTATTTTATACCATCTTGTTTCTATTTGATGCGGTTTGAATTCTTATTTGGTAGATTTCTTGATATCATACAGGTTAAATACAAGGCATAAGTAAGCCTGTGTACACTTTTGTACGACTTCCTAATTCGTGTCTGTAATTTATTTGTAAGTTGGTAATTTTTCCGGTTCAATCAGTTTGTAGACATGAAATCGATTCAAATAAAAACACTGATAACTAACTAGCATTTCAGTGAATTAATAATACCAAGTTTAAAATTATGTACATTTTTTGTTATGGTTTGATGAAGTTACAATATCCCACTTCACATTACAAAAGATTCTGTAGGTTTAATTTTGCTTTGTTTTTGACGAATATCTTAATAAAGCGATTAAATCACTGTAACAAACTATATTTTTCAACCTATTAATCCAAGAAACTGCTTCAGTTTCTGGGATTCTTTACTTCGGAAATAAACTTATAACAAATCTGATAAAAATGAACAAATCGGTTGAAATCCATACAGGTTCCTTGGTGAAATAAGTAATAACTGTGGAGTTACTACAAACGCTGTTTAAGAATATGTCATCGTTTTTGACCTTGTATGTTTGCCGTTCGAAGAACTTAATAAAAAACCTGATTTATCTAATTAATGCGGAAAATAAGCGAATCTGTCAATTTTTTAATGCAAAACGCCTTTGAATGACCTCTTCGTCCTTTTTATGTGCTTTAGATAACACTGAAGTAATTAAAGGTCAAATACATATTACTTTCAATTGCTTTTTGTTAATGATTCTTCAGGGAGCCTAATATCTAATGGTAAAGGAAGCGTTTTAAAACGTTACTGTCAAAATGAAGCCCAATGTTTACTACAACTCCAGCTAGATATACTCAGATCGTTTGTCCCTAAATATCAAGGCGAGAAGCTGCTCGATGGTGAACGTATCCTTTTTGGTGTAATTGGTTTTTGTTGACGAAAGCAAACTAAATGATCAAAGGGAGTCACTATTCTCACTCACTAATATTCTTTTATTATACGTTTGTGTAAACTAATGACTTCAGTAGTTTCACCCAGCTAAACCAGTCCTCGTAGAGAGGATTTAGTTAAAAGCTAGATAATGTGCTTATGATTGAGTTTTTGACTGAGTAGTTTGTTAGGTGCTCCAGTTTTAACCATAAATTGACTTGTTTTAACCCACCATCTATTTAGGCTTGATATTATCTGTAGTCGTCGAATAATAGGTATGCCAATTTAAGGTGCAAACCTACATTCATTTATTTAAACACATAAACATTGGTACAAGGAAGCACCAAATACATAAACGCCACACAAATCATTCGATTCATGTGAGAGCTGGAATACTGCACGGACGTCTAAATCGAAGCAGGTTGTTTACTTAGGCGGGTTACTCTCCGAATCTTTGACCCAGAGGTCTAATACACAAGGCAGTGGAGCAACGTCAGGATATGCATTCCCATGGCAGTCAGTGACTAGCAAAAGATTCATACACCATTTATCCCCTCAAGACTGGAGCTCATGTGACCATTGGTTTGGAATCAGGGTTTTCCAACTCTCCTAGGTGGGTCATCCATATCCACCAACCCGGTTAAAGCGCCGAACATTCGCCTTGCGTCCTCTCAATTTTGCAAGCAACAACCCCGCAGAGAGAAACCAGTGGGTAGGATTTCCCTGGCAGTGATTGTATACTCATGGACATGTGAGAGCATTTCTAGGAGAGGTGACTCTCATACTGTTGCAGGTAAATAAGTTCTTAGTTGTTTTCAGATATGTGTATGTTATTTATTGTATTTATTTCTTAACACTTAATATATTCAAAGGTTACGTAAAAATGCAGGATTTGCTGTACAGTTTTGAATCACCATCAATAATGGACTGCAAGATTGGACAACGTACTTTTTCAGAAAGTGAAGTCATTGAAGATTCTTCAGAAAATATTCGAAAAGTAAGTACATTTCTATTATTTTATGTGGTGTGAACATAATGATTGCTCCAGGTCTTTTATTAATGAGTATTTTCGCTTACTGTTGACTGTATGGTAGGAGTAAGGCAAAATCTTCAACAGACCGTTCATATTTTGAAACGTATTTCTTCTTTCGTATCTCTCAAATAAAGTAAATCAAATAATCGATTTGTATAAATTAGCATCACAAACTGACCTTTTTGTTTTTATACTGAAACACGATGGTTGTAGTTTTCCAACTTCAAAAGGGCATACCAAAAGGGTTGCAAATTGTTTACAGCATTGTAGTTGGAGCGACTAATATTATAAACCTGATATAATATTGAAGCACTATATCGTTTTTCAGCCAGGATCCTGGAAATTGTTTGATTCGTATCCCGTATAATATAGCCAATGAAACGGAATGTTCTTTATCGCTTAACATCACATTTTTACAATTATGCAATGAAATGCTGTGTGTTTAATAGACCCCTCAGACATATCAACAGTTAATAATCCAGCAATAATAATTCATATTTTTCCAAAAATAGTTCTTGGTAATACTTGTTAGATACAATATGTTGAGACCTTTTCAAAACATTTCTTTTGAATTGGCACCATTCTAAATTATTCATAACCAATACAGGTTTAATTTTATTTTTCTTATCGGTTATTTCTGGGATTATGAAGCTTGTTTTTAAAAAAAACAAAATAGGATCTCTACTTGAAAATGATGTCTACTTCACCTAACGCACCGACTGAAAGAGAACATCATGAAAAAGGTGTTTCAAAACTACGCTATTTGCAGTGGCGCGATACAATTAGCTCCACGGCTGAGTATGGTTTTCGCATTGAAGCAATCAAGGTATAGTATTTTATGTCTTGTGGTTTAGTGGTTTTTGCGTTATTTAAGTTTTAACTAATGTCATAAACAACATAACACCTGGCACATATGTATATCGGTCCAAATCGCCATGTCACATAGAGGAATATGATTTTAAAAGAAAATTAAATTCGCGGAATAAAAGTTCCTAAATAATTTTAAAACTTTTAATGTGAATACACATAGTGAGTGCATCCGCCCCACTACGACTGATTCTGAAGCATGCCACCCAACATCTTCAACCACCGGTCATAATCTCTCACCCTCACCATTTGGTTTAAATTAAGTATAGTAACTCCAGTAGGAGTAGCTAATTTTCATTGATCATTTACTTACAGTGTTTCTCGGAGCTCAGTATATAAGTCTTTACGTAACTAACTGAAATTCATTAATCTAATTAAGTTTAAACACATGTTTGTGCTTTAGCCATTCATAATGAGTGTATGGATTTTAACCTCAAAAGTAACATTGATACTTATGTTAACCTGTACAAATGCATCAAATCTAACAGAATCTTTGATATTTGTTACTGCACTTGTAAACTTGAATTAAGTTCCGATTCTTGTGGTAGGATAGTTAAAATTAAATTATGTATATGATAATGTCAATGTTAGATGACCGTCAGTAAGATATACCATTAATATATTTGAATGAAGTCTTGCAGTTACATTTTATGGCTCCATAATTGTTTTACATATATCACATTGCATTTGCGTTTCCCTCTACGTCTGCATAGTGTCATAAAAACAATCTGGTAATTGAATCCTAAATGCCTTTAAACATCTACTTGTAGCAATCTAGTTTCGTAAAGGCTTTCTTAATTGATTGTTACATACATTCCTTCATTTCATTGTTTCATTTAGGACCGTTTTATGCTCTTTATCTGTTATTGATACTACCATTGCTATCCATTTAGTTAATTTCATCTCACTGTGCTGATTCTGCTTAGGAGTTTGAGTTAAAGCACATGTGTGCCAAGGCTCTATGTTATCTATGACTGACTGGCTGACATATATCAAAGTATTTTGGGAAATCCCTGCAAGTTCATCCTCTTATTTATTCAATTGCTTATTTACATAATGTGCTGAAATTTCTAGTGGGTCACATTTAATTCAGTTAACTGTCATCGTAAGGGCAATCAATAAAAGAAACGTAATAACTTGTCATCAGTTTACTGTACAACTAATCAATGACGTATATTGCCTGTGTTTTTCTGATTAACATGATGTCATATTAAATTAAATAACCTATTATTTTTCAGTCATTTATCATTCATAACTTGTGATTTTATTATTTTTTCGATCCATTCCAGTTTTTTTCGTTTTAACTAGGGACTAAAAATAACTTCAGCCAAGTAGGAAAAATATCTTATGTCATTAACTGATTTGCTATCACTTTTATTTACATGGTTCCAAATTTACTGTAATATTGATATTGTTTTTGAGGTTAACTAATCATCCGACCCTGCTCTTTCATATTTATTTCAGACCTCTGGTGAATCCACTCGAAAAGATTTTCAACACACTCATACATGGAATGAAATAATAAATCACTTTAAATTATTCATACAGCACCGTAAAATAATTGCTGTAAGTTAAGATGCTTTTGTTTCTTTTTTTAAATATAGGAATGGTTGTTTTTTATACTAAACATCTAACCTTAACTCTAAACTTTAACCCTAGATTCTTGGCTTTAACCTACTTTAACTATGAACGATGTAGGAACTCCTAAAACTCTTTTGCGTCCTTTTAAGGGTTTGAGAAAATGGATTTTCTCCATTTTATGTACTAACTTTCACGCTTTGGTTTTTCTAATTTACTATGTAAAATCTGTGTACTCTTTGTAATGTCACTGTTTTCCCTCTATAAAATATTTATGTACGATAACTATTTTGTGATTTGCTAACAACGGGCTAAAATCGATCGCGGTTACTTTAAGCTCGTCCATATGCTATACTCTTACCACTAATAATACTACTGGGTAACTCATATCGAAGTGGACGTAATTTGATTTAAACCTCCAACCTAATTATTGGAACCCGAGTGTTTTAACCACTGAGATACTTAGACTTACATAATAAGCTTCTATTTCTTAAATGTCTCTTATTGCAAGATAATGATCACTATTATCAGCACACGTCATCAGAAACTTTTTATGGGATTACAGGGTATGGATTAGATTTTACATTCCTTAGTTTCTTTATTGTAAAAGTACTTTTTTAAGTATGGCATGGATAACATCAGTTTGGTGATGTTTAACATACTTTCGGAGTTATCCATATAAATTTACCACTCTTTTTGTTTTTTTTGCATAGCAAAACTATTTAATCCGATTATTAAAGTTGAGAACTATATTGGAAGTTTCCGATTTCTTTGCTAAACATGAGGTTTGTCTTAATTTTATTTGAATTTACTTACTGTATTAGATTTAAAACTTTCTGGTAAGATTTTTTGAACGGGATTGTAAAATATGAATTTGTTCTATATAAGCGAGATTACAACATACATTTTAACACAACTGGTGTCAACAAAAGTCACCCATTCAAAGTGCTTACGATGTAGTTTTTATGCTTCATTTTTAGTCGCTCTTGTAAATGTTTGATTCTGGAGACCTTTTCTTATCTTGGTACTGATACAGCAGTATTAAATTTTGTGAACGAATTACCTAGTTGTATGTAAAAAGTTAAACTAATGAGTCAGCTGTGTTATTTCCTGGCTTGAAAAAGAATCATGAACTGTCTTCACTTACCGTTCAACTGCACACTGATAAAATCATCATTTGCTCATCCAATGGTTTTCTAGTGTTATTATGACAGATTTTACGATGAATTCCCAAAAATAACCACCCATCAAAATCCAGTTCATATTTTACGTATCAAATTTTGACAAGTATTTGTGTTCACCCATTAGGTCAGTGTTAAACTGAAGCGTAGTGGGGGGTTTTCTAGATGTTAAGCTGTTCCTAGTTCCGTATCAATCGTTTTAAATGTGGTCAGTATTATAGAAGCAGTTGGCCAAGTCAAGCTATCTACTATACGACAATGAAAAATTCAAAAATAACTAGGAATTCCTGTTAGTAGTAGTGAATTTTCGCAGTTTTTGTGGATGGCTATTTGATGTAATTATCTCCACTGTACTTTTATTTTAAAATGTACGTTGAAATTACAAATAAATGCATATATAGTGCGAAATTCAACACTAACTTCATTTGTAATTCAATATGAATTATTGAAACCTACGTAATTAGATTTTTGTTTATGTATAGATTTTTGTTTGTATGAGTACAAAGAATGATTTATGGAAGTTTTTGGCCCGGTTTATTCAAACGTACATAAATTAAGACTTTGTATCCGTGCATAAATATGTCAGTTTTAGTAAGGTCTTGCAATTTCCCCTTGTTGATGTGCCCTGAATATCATGGACGGGAAATTACGAAACTTTATTAATACCTTCACACCCGTTGAATACGTTAGCGCAATTGACGGGAAACGTATATACTTCGAAATCCTATGTGAAGATCAGTACAGACAAGCAGGTGAATCTACCAGATGAGTCCAAAATAAGATGAGACGCGCATCCTGGGTCCCACTACTAACTACATACTAACTATATTAAAATATTTCGATTTTGTTTGTTAAACTGAATTTTCGTTAGCTAACTGATCATTTTGAATGGGATCCACTCAAAAATGTTATGTATATGTCTGTATCTCCCTCTTTGCCTTGTTTTCTAAATGGAGAATGATAAGATCAAACGCAGATGTTCAGTAATAATGTGCTTTCAGTGTATGGCGTGAAACTCTTTATCATAGTTTTGTATAGAGTACAGGCTCTTCATCTTAGCAAAGTCGTATGTCGGAATAAAACTTACGTTTATTTACTCCTTAGTTCTCAGTGATTTTTCAGTGGATACCAGTTTGTGGCGGAAATTACCTTCAACTTGTGACATTTAATTAGGTCTTAGCTAATTTCAAGATGTATGGTTTATTAATCTGTTTAATTACCCTAGTAATAATTTGTTTGCTTTCAATAGTTGAAATAAATTACATCATTCTCTCTACAAGATGATGAATTACTTTTTAATTATTTATTACACTACTTATGATCACAGGATAGATTTTTGAGCCAATATGTTCATGAAATACAAACTTTTTAATGCTGTAAAACAAATAAATAATAAACACTGCGCTAAGATATCTTCAAGACCTTACAGACGAATTCTTTTGTTATAGACAGGTGATTGGTGGCAGTTCAAGTGATATCTATACAGCGTTTTATGTTTCAAACACTTCTTTCCTAACCTTATTATCTACTGACAGTAGATTAAACGAAACTTGAGATGGTCATAGTAATTGGAGGATAAATGTCGAATAGGGAAAATGAAAAACAAGCCTGCCAATAGAATTACACCATTACACTTTCAGGTAGCTACGTATAGATAATGCCCATCATCAAATCCTAACTCATCATCAGTATGCTTATCATCAGGTGCAGGTAATTCATGCTGTAAAAAATTCAACGAACACACCACCCTTTTGGTTCCTTTTATATTCGATCAAAGTAATGTTTTATATTCTTATGTTCGGGGCCTACGGTAAATTTCAATTACCAACTATTGTGGTTCTTTTAATGCTAACTCGATAAATGCCTGACATGGACTGACATTTCAACCATAATCCTCAACGCGATTGAAGACAGGAAGTAGTTAATTGACCAGAAAAACTTGATATTCAAAAAGACAAATTCGAAGTACAATAGCTCTGTATATATTTAGTAACAAACATAACCTTAAGACAGTAAAATTAGCAAACTGAAATGGAGGATAGTTAATCAAATGACAGCAAAAGTAAATATGGAAATATGAATTAGGAAATTGCTATCATGGTTATTCTTTCATATATGCACCAACATTTATAAATAAAAAACTAAATAACTTGTGGCAGTCTAAGCGAAGTTACCTTCATTCTTTAATTTTATACTGATTAATTCCATTTATGTAAATACCGTCTTCAAAATACTTCTTATATACATATTTTTTGCACAAAATTCTTTATTTATCATGATCTGACTACTGATAACGTCGATAAATTGTCATAATCTTTTTGTTTTTGTCTTAAATTACTGACTTGATTTTTAATTCTTAAGAAAATAATTCCTTGATAACATGAAAGACAAATAGAACAATTTTATTCATAAATACATGAAACTATGTCATTGAATAGAGAGCAGCCTGAAGTGATATTGAACATTTGGATTTGGCTATTATTATTATTATTATTATTATTAAAGTATTGGTACCAATACTACAATATGGATCTAATAATATTAGTATAGTTTTTCTTTAGCCAGGTATTGGAAGTGACTTACTAAACCATGATACTAATATAATTGATAACCGTTTGCATTTCCCATGCCTACATTGTGAATTATGCATGTGGCATAATACTCCAATTATATTTTGTCAAAAACTATTTAATATTCCTTATTACAGAGAACTTGACTTATCCATTTGTTGATAATATTGAATGAATTTTGACCATTCTTTGTTGGAATAGATGCATCCTGTGCGTATTGTCTCGATATTGCCATTTTCACAAGCTTTTCTGCAAGAGATGGATTAGTGGCTAACAGTAGAATTCAGGACACGCGTTTCATCCTATTTGGGACTCGTCGACTTGGCGTATATGCATCCTAGTGTTGGTTCCCACATCAGGATCCTAACCCACTACCTTTCGCTTCGAATGCCCAACGCGTTATTCACTGAGCCACTAATTCCTGATAGCAATCCACTTGTGCAACGAAGGGTTCGAGTCCCTGTGTGAGCATTAATACTGAGATATGAATGCATCTATCTGACATGTCTCAAATTCAAAATCATCCTGTGACAACCACAGAGGGATTAGTTTGACTAATATAGTATCTAAAATACTAGCTTCGATAATTTTCGGACGCCTAACTAAAACTCGTGAGCTGCAAACACGTGAAAATCAGGCTGGCTTCAGACCTGGTCGTGGCTGCATCGACCACATATTCACCATTCGTCAGGTTCTAGAACACAGGCATACTTATCGGCGTCCGACAATGGTGGTATTCCTTGACTTAAAAGCAGCGTTTGACTCTGTTGACCGAGAGGTTCTGTGGCAGTGTCTGTCATTGAAAGGCGTACCTCAGAAGTACATAAACCTTGTGAAGGCTCTTTACTCGAACACTACTAGTCGGGTCAGAGCCTATGGCGAACTGTCATCTGCTTTTGCAACCTCAAGTGGCGTCCGTCAAGGCTGTCCACTTTCTCCTTTTTTGTTTAACTTTATCATAGACATCCTGATGGAAATAACGCTCTCATCGACTGACTTCTCGGGTATTGATCTCCTACCAGGAGGTCCACTTATTGACTTGGAATACGCAGATGACATAGTCCTGTTTGGTGAAGACGCTGACGAAATGCAGAGTCTTTTGTTAGCACTGAGCAACAATGCCCGATTGTTTGGGATGCGCTTTTCTCCCTCTAAATGCAAGTTGTTGCTTCAGGACTGGTCTGCATCAACACCTGAACTAAGGATAGGGGGTGAAGTAGTCGAACGCGTTGACAACTTCACTTATCTTGGAAGTCTGATCAGCCCTAATGGGTTGGTGTCTGACGAAATCTCAGCACGGATTCGAAAAGCTCGCTTGGCCTTTGCCAACTTACATCATCTATGGCGAAGGCGAGATATTCGTCTATCAATTAAGGGACGAGTATACTGCGCGGCAGTTCGTTCCGTCCTTCTATACGGCTGCGAAACATGGCCTTTAAGAGTGGAAGATATTCGTAAGTTACTAGTATTTGACCACAGGTGCCTTAGAAATATTGCGGGTATCTGCTGGGATCACCGGGTAAGTAATAGTGAGGTTAGACGCAGGGTATTAGGAAATGATGGTAAATCAGTTGATGAGGTTATGAATCTTCATCGACTGAGATGGTTGGGCCACGTGTTGCGTATGCCTGAACACCGATTACCACGACGCGCAATGCTGACTAGTGCAGGGGATAATTGGAAGAAAGTTAGGGGCGGCCAAACCAAAACGTGGCATCAATGCTTGAAGTCACTAACTTCTGGTCTGAGTCATGTTGGGAGATTCAGACTGCCTGGTTGGGGTCCGCGTGACTATCGTAACCAATGGTTGGAGACTCTTGGTGACATGGCTCAGAATCGATCACAATGGCGTCGGTGTATACACTCTCTGTCTTCCTTAAATTAAGAGATTAAAATCGCTTCATATCTGTCTAGGAACTAATTCTTTCTTCCTGTACTATCTCCATATACACAATCTTTCTTCTATATATTACCACCACTGAATTAACTACTCCTATGAATCCGGTGTTCATCTTGTTGTGCTAATGCGGTATGGCAACTTGGACCGATGCATATACGTGCCTGGTCCTACGTTGCAGCTGACTGACTGACTGACTGACATGTCTCAAATAGGACAAAGCGCGAGTCTTGGATTCTTCAGTTGACAGTAAATCCACCGATCCTGTAAAGGACTATTTTGTCTAAGTATTCTCTTAATAATGGTTTTGTAATGGATATTTTTGTCTATGTTTATTGATGTCTTGACGAAGACAAGGCATAGAGTTAACAATATATTCATCCAACTATCTAACACTGCCCTATTTACAATTAACTTGCATAATCTTGGTAGTGGTATCATGCATTAATTCTTTTTGTGTGTTTAATGTTTAAACAGAAAATAAAAACTTCCTCATCTTTATTCTTTATCTTCCGTTTCAGTTTATCGGCTCTTCATTATTATTTGTTCATGATCAATCAGGCTATGCTAATATCTGGTTAATTGATTTCGCTAAAATAGCCAGTCCATTGAACAATCAAATTCGTGTAAATCATCGTTCTGTATGGAAATCTGGCAATTATGAAGATGGTTATTTAATTGGAATTGATAATTTAGTGAAATTATTTGAAGAAATTATTCATGAATGCCAGTAGTTGAAGATCTCATAGATTATTCCCTTTTGTTTTTCCGTTTCTATGTCTTTGCTAGTGTTTATATATCGGAAGAACATTACGATCTATATCCGGTTTATTACACGATATCCACATTTCCCATTTTTTACGTCGACTTCGTAGAATTAATTGATCTTTCCATAGAACAACTATCGTGTTATGCATTGACTCAATAATAGTGAGTTTTTCCATTTTGTGTTGGTTTATTACTCCATTATCGTATTCACAACTCCCACCACCTTTTGATCGCAACAGTACATTACAAAATAAATTCAAATAACAGATCACTTGAAAGCAACATCTATTTGTTTTTTTACGTTTTCATGTTTTTTCTTAAATTGATTTACTTGAGAATCAAAATTGTTTTCACAATGTATGTAAAACAGTCTTAATATCTTTTTTTACTTGTGATTTAGACATATTTTTGATAAATGAAATAGTTTTTTGTTCAAATGTTTTCATCATCAAATGTATTTCGCCACATCTATTTTTTTCTACAATTATTTTTGTTTCTTTGACATAGTACTAATATTCTCAATATTGATTTGCTATTGTAACATAAGTGTACCGATTTCAAACACATTCCAACATTGCCAATTTGTATAATTATAAAACGTTGAATGTTTCATATTTTTTCTTCTGACTTATGTGTGTTAATTATAAGTAACCTGTGCTGTGTGAAGGATATTTCGACTGCTATTTGACTTCATGACATAGTAACCGGGATTATTGATCTCGCCAGTTTAGTGCAGTTCTTTCACACAAACCATTACTTTCCTGAAGAGATTTAGCAAATATTATTTGAGTCCTGGTACACAAATGTCATTCAATAGATTATGGTCTCAGGTTAGTTTTAGGAATGGTTTGAAATTAACAATGTGTCTTTCTGCATCCACCAATATCTCAAGATATAAGACTTACATTTCAACAGAGAGCATATTTAAATTGGTCGAGAAGGTAATTTACTATGAAGTAGTGCTTGATTTGTAAGTTTGTAGAAACAGAAAATTTGGAACTAAGTGTTCAATATGTGTAATGTGAGGATCTCTGAAAATTATTTAGTTGTTAATTGGGACTAAAGGAAATGATTCTCGAAAAATTTAACGTATTATATATATGATATATCAATAGATTATCATAACAGTAATTAAATATCATAAGGCCCATGATAGTCAATTTCCACAGGGAATTGGGTATTGCCAATGAATGTGTGAATACTCCTTTGATTCGTACAATGATTTTGTTGGTTAGCAGCGATGTAAGTCCGAGTTGAAATACTTCGTCAGAAGTATGGCCTGTTGAATCATACAACTTAAAAGTTAGGCAGTAACCCATTGACAGCGTGGGATAAGGATCACGCTATTTCATATTTGTATATTATTGGATTTTAAATCACTGGCTTAAAAATATCATAGTCCCTATATTCGAAGGTCTTATGTTCCACTCTGCTGAGTATCGATATTTTTAATTCGCTGAATATTCTACCTATATATCTTAATGTGAAATATGCATGTATGTAGCAAGCCCATTCCATTAATGTATTATTTGTCTACACAACTGTGTTAATTTCCATATGAGTATGATTGAGCGTGTGTCTGCACTTCTATCCCTATTCTATTCCCCATTGGTTGTGACACATAGATAATCAATAATTTATCTACACTTGATTGATACTCAAAAATATATATGGATCTTTTAACACAGACACACACACTTTGATTTTTGACTCACTCGGTGCTTGCTTGCTGTATGCTTGCGGACTTTACCAGGCTTTCACAATAAACTATCTCTATAACTGATTTTTGGGCTTTTTAATGATCTCGAGTAAATCGATAATTCTACTAGGAGATTAAGCCTGTATTAAATACTCGGTTAATGAGATATCTTTATTTGGAGTCGAATATAGAGGAAATTTATCTCAACAAACTTGGTTAACCTCTACAAACTGGTGAGCCGCATTTAGAACACGCGCCTGTTTCTCTACAAAATCTGCTGCATATTCTCCAATCATAAAGAACTTCATATTGGAATTACTATTGCAATTATTAACAATACATTGACAGTCAGTTAATTCATCTATAACATTGTTGCTTTGGAATTATTACTTTATATTTGCCTATTTAAACTCAAAGTGACCTTTGTTTTCGGTGAGTCTCATACATATTTCTTGTTGTTATTTTCGACTTATTCATATCATATATTTCAATCCTCAGCTTATTATTATTGCTATTGTTATTATTTCTTCGTATCATGTCACTTCATAATTCACCAAGCCTTTCATCTAAGTCTATTTCCGTGGGTGCCATCTCTGTACCTTTACCTGCCTTTAATCCCCGAAAGGCCGAACTGTGGTTTGCACGCTTAGAAAGCTTTTTTGTTGCAAACAGAATCACAAATCAGAACACAAAATTTAGTTATGCAAACTCATTGCTGCCAGACGATGTTATAGAACAAGTGTCTGACGTCATTTTTAAACCGGATCCAGACTCACCATACGATTGTCTAAAAAGAGAGGTTATTCGTGTTACATCTCTCACCGACCAGCAAACAATTGATCAACTTTTAGCTAATGTAGAGCTAGGTGACAGTACACCATCTCAATTAAAACGCCACATGACAAATTTATTGGGGAATCGTACAGTAGATAAACGTCTATTCTATCAATTGTGGCTCAGACGTCTACCACAAAACATCCAACAGATACTAGCAATCGGAGACGAGGATATCGATTTTGATAGGCTAGCAGATATAGCCGATAGAATTTACGAGCGAACTAGGACGCACTCCGTATCTCACATACAATCAAACTCATCTGACGAGATCGCCGAGTTGCGACGAACAGTCGAAGTCCTCGCTAATCAGATAGCTCAGCTCCAATTTTTGAATACCTCCCACAGCAAGCGGAAAGGAAGGTCTAGAAGCCGTAAAAGTCATAGTCCAAGCACCACTCGACATAACATTTGTTGGTACCATAAAACGTACGGTAAGCAAGCTAAAAAATGTACTCCTCCCTGTAATTTCGCAAGCACACAACAAAGAGACCATCATGAACGTCGGTTAATGACGACTGCAGTCGCTGAACACAACTCTCAAAGCAGTCGCTTGTTATATGTTACAGACAAAAGGACTGGAACACAGTTCTTAGTCGACACTGGGGCAGAGGTTAGTGTAGTACCACCCACTACACTTGAGAAAAACACACCTGACCCCAAACTAAAACTACAAGCCGCAAACAGATCTGAGATCAAGACGTACGGCAAAAGGCATTTACAATTAAATTTCGGTCCTAAATCCAATTTTTCATGGAACTTCATCATAGCTGACGTCCTCATTCCTATAATCGGCATTGATTTTTTACAATCCCATAAAATACTCGTAGATGTAAGAAATCGGAAACTTGTCCTTGCTGACCATAGCAGCGAAATTAGAGGGATTATTTCTAACGAGACATCCATACATTTATTGATCAAACCTCATCGTGAGAATGACAAGTACGTTAGTTTACTTAATCAGTTTCCAGACTTATTACGACCGAATTTCAAACGGGACAAACTGACACATACCGTCGTACATCATATAAAGACAGAGGGTCCACCAGTGTTCGCACGTCCAAGACGCCTTGACCCCTCTCGTTTGGCTCTAGCAAAGAACGAATTCAACAAAATGATAGAGTTGGGTATCATACGCCCCTCCGATAGTCCGTGGGCATCACCGCTCCATTTGGTACCCAAGAAAAACTCTTCCGAAGTTAGACCTTGCGGTGACTATAGAACTCTCAACAGCCGTACTATACCAGACAGATATCCACTTCCACATTTGCATGACTTCACTCATAGTCTATCTGATGTGACGATTTTTTCAAAAGTTGATCTCGTCCGCGCTTACCATCACATTCCAATTCACCCGGACGACGTTCCCAAAACAGCCATTACTACCCCATTTGGATCATACGAATTTGTTCGCATGCCTTTCGGATTAAGGAATGCTGCACAAAGTTTCCAGCGTTTTATCGACCAAGTAGTACGTGGCTTACCTTTCGTATATGCTTACATAGATGACCTTCTTATCGCAAGCAAAAATGAAAATGAACATCTAATTCATCTGAAAATGCTTTTTGAGAAGCTAAACGAGTATGGGTTAACAGTCAACCCTGACAAATGTGAGTTCGGAAAACAATCCCTCACCTTTTTAGGTCACGTAATTGATAGTCAAGGCATCAAACCAGTTCCTGAGGAAACACAAGCCATCAAAAATTATCCTTTACCTGATTCATTCAAGAAACTACGACGTTTCCTTGGGATGATCAACTTTTACAGACGTTTTATTCCGAAATGTGCAGACATAGCAAAACCGCTAACTGATTTATTAAGGGGACGAGCTAAATCATTGACAATGACACCGCAAGCAATTCAAGCATTTGAACAGTTAAAAAGCACATTAAGCACCGAGGCATTACTAGTACGTCGAAAGGTTGATGCACCTTTAGCAGTAATGACCGATGCCTCTAATGTAGCAGTAGGCGCTGTGCTTCAACAACATGTCGATCAACAATGGCAACCCCTTGCATTTTTCTCAAAAAAGCTTAACGCAACGCAAACAAAATATAGCACATTCGGTAGAGAACTGTTAGCTGTCTACCTAGCCATCAAACACTTTCGGTATATGTTAGAAGGCAATTCTTTTACGATATATACGGATCATAAACCTCTAACTAAATCCTTGATGCACAATCATGATAAATACAGTCCGCGCGAAATTCGTCAACTAGAATTCATTTCGCAATTTGCAGCTGATATACGATACATAAAAGGCAATTCAAATGAGGCAGCAGATGCACTGTCGAGATTAAGTATCAATACCTTCTCGATCCCTGATATAAACTATCAAGACATAGCAAATATTCAAAGGCTCACTGCTGTTAGCATCAACAGAGTAAAACCACCGTTTTTAAAGTATACTAAAAAAAACACAACCATAAAACGGTCTAAACCTGCATCAGAGCAAGCACCATACAGACTAACCGCAACAAACATTACTTCACTCCGAAGTACGCCAACAACAGAAACCACAACAAGATCAGGAAGAAGAGTACACTGGCCAGATAGGTATGTAGCAACCACCATATTTATCTAGACCAAGTCCTGAGATTGCTCTTATACCACAAAAATCCTTCTTTATTTTCATTACTATATTTTATTGGCCCCACGGATCTTCATTATGCTTACATTTTAACTTGATGAAATTCGTTGATGTTAAATATACATTTATACATACATGATACAAAGCGTTTCAACACACAAGCTGTTATGACAACTTAACGCTTACTCATCATCATATCAAATTGTACATTTATTTTAAAGACAATTTCGTTTTTCATCTTTTTGTCGAACATAGATGTTAATAAAATTTTGTTTTGTAAATAAAAACATCAATGTTCTGGATGGGAGCTTATGTAGCAAGCCCATTCCATTAATGTATTATTTGTCTACACAACTGTGTTAATTTCCATATGAGTATGATTGAGCGTGTGTCTGCACTTCTATCCCTATTCTATTCCCCATTGGTTGTGACACATAGATAATCAATAATTTATCTACACTTGATTGATACTCAAAAATATATATGGATCTTTTAACACAGACACACACACTTTGATTTTTGACTCACTCGGTGCTTGCTTGCTGTATGCTTGCGGACTTTACCAGGCTTTCACAATAAACTATCTCTATAACTGATTTTTGGGCTTTTTAATGATCTCGAGTAAATCGATAAT